ATTCTGAGTTTGCATTTCACTGTTTTAATTCATTTTGATGAATACTAAATCTGTTTTTTGTGAGTGGGATGAATTAATGCACATTTACATTTAGTCTAGAACTACAGTAGCATCATGTTCACACAGCGCACACAATTCCTCTGCACATATTCTCCCAATATGGGGACAGGAGACTTGTCAGTCAATAAATGGGAAAACAAAGTAACTGGCATTACTTTTTTGAAAAAGTAACTCAGATATTTTCTTGTAAATTAAAAAATACATTACTTTACTAGTTACTTAAAAAAATGTATCTGATTACGTAACTCGCATTATTTGTAATGTGTGTATATATATATATATATATATATATATTATATATGTATGTATATATGTGTGTATGTATGTATATATATATGTATGTATACAAACAACCCGCTGTGGGAATTCTCACTCCAAGTTGATGGTGGCAAGGAACCCAAATTCCACCACTGTCATTTATTTATTTTAGAACGGGCCATTTACAAAATCAACAACATATAGTAGCACTCATATTACAAAACCGTAAGTGGCACATGACCCTCAAAAACAGATGTGCCACAGAATGACTGCATTTTTGAAAATGACACATTTAGCACATTTCATACACAATGGTAATTCAAAGTGCTTTACATAAAAAATGCATCAAAATAATCACAATAACACCAAAGAAAAAAAATATAAAATACATATTAAAATGCCCTTTGATTTATTTTTTTCCTTTTTTTCTCCACACAAAAGAATGCTTGTCATCTTATTCATGAAATCATACCTGTGAGGTCTGGATGAGAGCCTCCAAGAATGCTTCAACATTCTGGAAAGAGCTGTTGTGCTCTAGATGTTCAAAGACCATGTTTGCTCATTTGCAAATCCCTTCTGCTCAGGAAAGGTGAAACTTCGGGGAGTTTGGAAACAATGACCGCAGCAACAACAACAGCATATGCCCTTCACAAACAAACCTTCTCTTCAAGGAACATCTGCATGTTTCATATTGTCAGGGCCCTCAGCACCAACTTCAGAACGTTCACCTTCAAGGTTCCTTCATCTGCATGTTCCACACTACAAAGACCTTCTCTGTGCTCCAGAAGATCAGCATTACCCAGTTCTTTGTGTTTAAGGCTATTTAAACAGAATACAACTACTTCCCAGTGCATCACTGCCCGGCACAATTAGTGGAAGATGCTGCTGCCATCAGACGCATGACTTGATCAAGTGGAATGATGTTACTCAATAGTGACAACTGGGAAATCTATTTCAAATCTGTGACTCAAACACTAATGCAGTTATCTTAAAACATTTTTATTCAAAGGACTGACATTCTAAAACAGAAAGCAGAAAACTTCTGAACATTCTTTAAAAAAAACATGGCTTAACCAAGTATTTAACTAAAAAAGGAAACATAACTATGGTAGTAGTAAGTAATCTACAAATGGCTTAGGATATTTTGTTACGTACAAGTTGATTCAATGACATTTAATAATTTATGACAGTGTTTCACATTAACACAGGGCCAGACTCATGCAATTTCTGTCCATGTTAGACATAAATGCTGCTTCAGAAAAAAGCAATGAGAAAGAGAATATATCAGTAATCATGAGTCAAGCTGCTTCAACCTGAACACGTGTAAGCACAATTACCAGAGAAAAGAAATACTAGTATCTACGTCGTTTGTTATTAGGCCCATCAAAGTTTCCCCCCACTGGGCTTCCTCTCGTAAAGCCACTTTGGCCAGCCACACCAGGAACAGGTCCTGCCCCAACCACCTGCTGCTGCTGAGGAGAGTCAACACCAGATCGCCCAGCCACAGACGAACCCATCTGAAGAGGCGATCCTTCAGAAAACCGATCATTATGCTGAATTGAAATGTCAAAACAGGTATGGCATATTTGTAGCAAGCATTTGTTTGTAATATGTTGCCATTTTATAATGACCATATAATATTTTAGTTGTTGCAGAAACAGCCCAAAAAAGTCAGTTTTTTTTCCATGAAGTTCAGTGGATGAATAGGACAAGCAGTAGAGTCCAGGAACACCCAAAAGAGGAAAAAACAAAAAGAAGGAATTATTTGGTTAGTACAGAAAGCCTGCAAAATCTTAATGACAACAAGAATACAAAAATATGCACAAAGTATACACAAAGTGATACCTTAATTCTAAACAAAAATAACATAGCTGCATGTTAAATTGTACATTTTAAATTGTAGTATAAAGATGGCTTAAGTGAGTGTGCTAAAAACTGCTGTGTGGTAAATCTTTGTACCACTGGTCAACTGTGGTATTGCTCGACAACAGCTCTGTTCACTAATTAGGGCTTTAAATTGCCACCTAACCTGCACTTACTTCAGACTTTTGCGGTTTTGTATTCTGCTGCTTTGGGGGTTCTTTATGCTGTAACATAGGTAGGTCAAAGGTAGTGTCGTGCAAATATCATTGGATATTATTGGACCATTTTTCACTAATATGAGTACCAGTATATGAGCACAGTATATAAATGCATCCCTGTGCACCCTCTCCAAAATGCACAATGTCCGTCTTACTAAATGTTGGCTTAGCACTGATAACAATAACATAACTGACAATACAACCTACTACTACACTAAATAAAGGGTGAGATGCTATGGTGATATACTACGAAATGCCTACATTCATTCATATAAAAAAAACAAGTCAAAGAATAAGAAAAACAGTAAAAAAAAATGTTCTCAAATATACAATCACAAAAATAAAACCAGATGAGTAAAGTTCATACACTTTGATGTTGGCTTGATTTTAGTCAATAGAATGTTTTTAACATGTTCGATCACATTGCTAAAATGTTTAAGCAAGTTGGTAAAATGATTTAACATGCTGCTAGCATTTTAACATATTGCTAGCATGATTTAGCATGTTGATAACCTTTTAACACACTGCTACGGTTTTATCATGCTTTAGCATGTTGTTACTGTGATTTAGCACATTGGTACCATGATTTAACAGATTCCTATTATCTTTTAGCACACTGATAGCATGTTTTAACATGTTGTTAACATGTTTTAAGATGTTGCTAGCATTATTTAGTAGGTTATTAGCATGTTCCTATGATAGTCATTAAGCTTTATTAGTGAAAGTCAGTTTAAAGGGGTCTTATTTTCCACTATTTCAGCTTTAGTTAGTGTGTAAAGTTACTGTTTGAGAATAAAAACGATCTGCAAGGTTTACAAAGGCAGATATTCTCTTTAACAGAAAACACTTTTCAAGAAGTACAGCAAACAGCTCGTTCAGACTACAGCACGCTTCTTCTGGATATTGTGAAATCACAATGTCACTCATTTAAATAATCTCCGCCCAATGCTCCTAAACATTATAACCTCAGTGTTTTTCTGTGTGTGCTGGACAGCTTTAAGAACCTAAGAGAGTACAGTGCCGTTACGCACAAAAGCTTCTCCTGCAGCTGCTTCACAGTTTTACTGCAGTTTATGTAATACTGTTGTAATCAAATAATATTACATTGAATACATATTATCATTGTACTTTTCCTATATACAGTAATTGCAGTTTTTTTTACACCCCTAGGGCCGGTGTAAAATTTTCACATCATGGCTGGGCATCAGGCCTTTTTTAGGCTTCTCCTTTTTATATTTTAGACATTCATCAGTTAAGGTGCTGGAAAAGATGCTCTGTGTTTAGTGTCCCCGCCAGCAGCAGCAGCCAGCGCACCTTCAGAGCAGATGGAAGAGTTCTAGAAGAAAGGAGGACTGGATTAAAATTAGGGCTGTCCCGACTAAAGATTTTTCTAGTCGTTAATTTAAGCCATTATTCAACTGATCGCACGTTTATATTAATTTAATTACTTAAATATATACTAAACCATAATGAGCCTTTTAATATATTGGCTAGCTAGCCTATTCCACGCTCAAGCGCAAGCATAAAGCTTGCTGCAAAGCACCGGCAAAAGTGTTAATGACTTTCTATAAAGCCTTCTATAGATATATTTCTCATGTCTATGAGGCAAGTAGCCTATATGATGAGTTTTAGTTCATTTTTGTGATGCGCTCCACAGTTACAGGGTTTCTGCAGGATTCACTATAAACTATGAACTCTGTAGGTGTGTTTTGTTTGCTTTTCGCGATATACTCGATAATATCAAATCGCACATCATTAAAACAACAATTACGATATTATCGCAGACCATACATATTGCACACCCCTATGTTTAGATTTTTAGAATGCATTGTCTTCTTATCGATCCACCAGTTCACATTTAAAGCTCTGCGTGTTTGCAGGGCAAAAACATGGGTCGATTTTTGCATTGGTCTGAACTCTGAACAAAACAACAGTTTTATTGAAAATGCTCATTCATTCTCTGCCAGCAGGTTGAGCGTTTGGTAGAAATATAACTGTTTCCCCGGTAACTGCAGAACACAAAGCAGCATCGGACTTTGAACGTGCAGCACTCGTGTTTATTTCATGAAATCATAGCCTTTTGAAGTTTAATCATCCCATTCAGCCATATCTCAATTCTGTCCCCAAATTTAAGACCTCTTGAAATCATAATTAAGACTTTTTAAGGCCTTAAATTTGATACAACTAAATTTAAGACTTTTTTTAAGACCCGCGGAAACCCTGAGTTAATGGACACCGAGATGGCAGAAAGCGCATTCTTGTTTGTTTTCTTTATTTTACTAAAGCACAAGATTTTGTTGATAATGTGAGTGTACACAAATAAAAGTAGACTTTACAGTCTGCATTAAAGCACCCTTTAGCTTCCACACGCCACACAAACACTTGGATATGCACCTAACAGCGTGCAATTATCCAGGCTAAACGTTTAAACTAACACTGTATTATGCTTGAAGTGTATATCTATGGATTTTATTGTGGGCAAGTCGAGTGTTGATTAGAGAAGGCTAAATTGATCAAACGTGTTTAAGTCACTGTCGGCCGCTGGCTGCTTAATTGTCACTTTAAAAAACAAAAACTTGTGTTTAACAAACAAAAAATGCTCCAAAGATTTTTCTAAATTACCTAATAAAGAAACGGAAAGAAATATAACATCTTTGGAATTAAAAACAAAACTGAACTATTTTAATGGCTGCAACAGTAGGCTGTAATGGGGAGGAGAAAAAAATAATAAAATAAACAGTCACAGGCTCCAGTTGGACTCGGGATAGGGTACAAAAGTTACTGGACTTATTGTACAAAAGTTTTGACCCCTTCAATGAAAATCTATCAGACTTTTCGTAATTTTGATCGTCTCCTTAAATGAAGATCTTAAGTCCGATAAGAAAAGAAATGGCTGTACAACAAACTGTACAATAAGATGATGCCAAACATCAATACATTACCATCACTCCATTATCTGGAATTAGGGGAGTCCCCATATTTGATGATCCTTCAGGCCCCATGGCTCCAACTCGGCCTGCTAAGCCCATCTGTGAAGGGTTACTGCTAACCGCAGCGACAGGGTTAAATGAATCTATGTAAGACAAAGTACATCCGACATACACTGAGAGGGCTAATTCACTGAACGATTTAAAGAAACTATTGTGCATTGCAGTAGGGGTGGGGGAAAAAATCAATACAGCATAGTATCGCGATATTTTCCACGGCAATACTGTATTGATACATGGACGCCAAGTATCAATCTTTTATTATACTATTTGGTAGAATAATAAACCTTATTGTAAAGTGTTACCAATATTAATATAAATTCTGTCCATTTTTATTGTGTTACTTTCAGTAAAAGTGTGGTTATTTTATTGGCTTGTGTTTTTTTAAATTCAGTATCATTAAAATTGAGTTAAAAGTCTTACAAAATGACTTTATATTATTTAATAAAATAATAAATCATTACAAAGCATTTTCGGTTTCGGTTTTTGGCCAAGTGCATCCAGAATTTTCGGTTTCCATTTCGACCCAGCATTTTCATTTCGGCGCATCCCTAGATGTAAGACTATTTAATTTAATTTAAATTTAACAGTAATTTACTTTCAACTGCCCCAATTGCTGAAGGGCTTGCACAACTTTTTAGTACAATTTCAAGTTGCACTGTTCAAAATACCTGTAGTAGCACAGCAGTGCATACCTGTTTACATTTAATTAAGGTGGACTAGATTAGACTAATACAAATAGTTGAGTTTGCCAGGTGCATACAACATTTATGACAGGTTTTCATGAAAGTGTTGGTCAGTTTGTCTGCTTCACAATCCCATTTTGCACTGCAGCAATAAAACTGAAGTGAGATAAACAAACTGAGAAATGTTTCTTTTTAGTTAAAACAGATGTTGTCAAAGTTTTCCTTTGGGGACATTATTTGAAGTTGGAAAAAGGTAATAAATTGCAATATATCGCAGAATATCGCAATATATTTAAAATCGCAATAATATCGTATCATGAGGCCTCTGGTGATTCCCACCCCTATTGCAATATGATGTAATGTGTAAATGTGTGTTGTTTTCATCCAAATCATCAAAAAAGGTCATATTTGGGACTGTAAATTACTTCACTACAATTTACACACTATAAAAAAAGAATGAATAAAAGATGAATAAAATTATTAAAAGCAAAATAGAATTGAAAAATTGATGTGGCAAACTTGGAAATCTATATTAAACAGGCAGCAAGTGTGATGATGTTTGTAGCCATGCATCAAAATATTACATGATGGCATCCTAAACTCAATAACCAAGACAGGAAAAATAAAAATAAATAAAAAAACAAAACAAATAAAAATAAAAGATTTACAGAAAAAACACCATGGGGGCCCTTTATTTAACATATTATTTAATTATTCAATTAAGTTTAAAGAGAATAAGAATTTTTCAGTTTAACTAACCAAACAAAAGACTCATCTTAAGATGCAAAGCTACACTTTTAAATGCACATGCAAGTGATGCACTGCCCCAAAAATATAAAAGACACCTCACACAGCTGTTTCCAATTGCATGTGGAGTCTCAGTATGATCATACCTCCCATATTAATGGCTCCACGGCTTCCCATTTCATTCATTCTCATCTCCTGTTCTCTCTGAAAGTGAAGGAGACATTTTAATTGTGAGTCTCAATTCACACAGAACTAGAAACATTAAAAATATGCCAAATTGTGCATATTTATAACTCCTAGAGAGTGTACACAAATAAAAGTAGACTTTACAGTCTGCATTAAAGCACGCTTTAGCTTCCACACTCCGCACAAACACTTGGATATGCACCTAACAGCGCGCAATTTGTATATCTATGGATTTTATTGTGGGCAAGTCGAGTGTTGATTAGAGAAGGCTAAATTGATAAAACGTGTTAAAGTCGCTGTCAGCCGCTGGCTGCTTAATTGTCACTTTAAAAAACAAAAACTTGTGTTTAAGGAGGGGGTACAATGCTGTTTCATGCATTCAGAGTTGTTTACACTGTTGTAGAGTTGGATTCTCATGCTAAGCATGGACAAAGTATTCAGAGTTGTTTACACTGTTAAAGAGTTGGATTCTCATGCTAAGCATGGAACAAAGTTTCAAAAAACAATTTGGACGTATGACAGTATTTCTGTGCCAAAAACCTTACTTCCGGGTTCGTACAAGTTTCGGAGAGTTTTTTTCGATCGTGGCTCTTAATGACGTAAACGAGGGTGGAACTCCTTATATGGGCATTTCTCCCGGAAGAACGCGCCCGCATCGACCAGAACAAGAGCGAGATCGTGCCCATCAACGCACTTCATCCGGCGGCAGCGTTGCACGGGACTCGCTCAGGAAGAATGTCTTCCATCCAAAGAAGTGTGTTTTTGGTTGTAAGGGAAAGATAACTTTGTTCAGCTTCCTAAAGAACCCAGCGTTATGTAAACAGTGGATACAGTTTGTTTTTCCGGAGCAGCAACGGAGTTTCACAAGTGTGTTTGTTGACGAACGTTTTATAAACAAGGCCCAGTTCGACGCTGGATTTGCACATCGTTTGATACTGAAAGATGGAGCGGTCGAGCTATAAAAGATCCCGGGCCATGATTCAGAACTGCAGACTGTAAGTGAAACGGCATCAAATGTCTGTTTTGTTGGCATTCGGCACCCAAGTGCTCGTCACTCTTTAGCTCCGCCCACGACACGCCTCCAGGAGCTCGGCTTTTTCCGGAGAGAATCGTCGAAGTCGAAGATTTTTTGGAGATATGAAGGATGCAGTACTACTCTATAGGTACTCAAGATTAACATGAGATTGGGTGAAACGGTGTGTGTTATGCCCCCTTTAACAAACAAAAAATGCTCCAAAGATTTTAGTAGACCCAGGACATATCGACACATTGAGTGTTTTAATCATCAAAGGCCCAAATATAGAAAAAAAAGTGTGATTTTTTTTCACCTTTTAAATGTTATTGTAGGAGGCCTCTAATGCAGAAATAAATGGGATTTTACGTTTTTGACATTTTAGGGAATTGTTGTAATATTGCAATGTTGGGCTCTTGGGGAGCAGAAATACAGTGATTTTACTCACTGTATGAACAAATGCAGAGAACATCTAAAGGCTCATTTGCAGGGTGTAATGACTCTGTAACCCCATAACAATAGTCTATATACGTATACACTACACACTAATCATCACACAATAATGATAAAAAATAAATTTTTATAAAAAAGAAAAAATATATTTATTATAAAAATGTTCATATTATATTTACAAAACCTGATGAACTGAATGAAAGCTTTAAAACATTCTTCATGACTTTAAAACTTTCTTCTCTTGTATCAGAGTCCATTTCAAAGTCACCGTTCATATTTTGGACGGCATCAGTGATATCACACACATATAACGAGGCGGGTCTTTCTTGGATGGTGACATTCTGAAATGGAAAAAACCCACTGATTATTTTCCAGGCTAAATAATATCAATGCAAATTAATCACAATCATACTTAATTCATTTTAAAGAATTAACCCATTCACACAATACTGTCTGATAGATTATTGTGCCCTTTGCTTATGCTAATAACCTTCTTTTGTTCTGCAGATGTTTTCCTCTTTTGTTTTTTATCCGCCATCTCTATCTTTCTGTCGCTTGGCTCGCTAATGTCCGTCCTGTGCACTGAACTCTCTCTCCTCCACATCATGAGTAGACACGCCCCTTACTGCTGATTGGCTACAAGTTTGTTTTGCTACTCGGCCCAAATCAGTTTTCTAAAGCGTTTTTGAAAAATCACTTACCCCACCTTTAAAACTTGTGAATGATCAAAACAGTTTCTATTAGTATTTTATATATCACAATTCATCCATGTAATGCAAGGTGCACAGGCAAATTTTGCTACCCCTTTCAACCAGTGTTGTAAAATTATAACACCGACATAAGCTCAAAATCTAAAATGATCAACGCATTCAACAATAACTACATGAACTAGACATATTACTAATCACAGAAAAAATTATATTTTAGGCATTTTACTTACTTGAATGTAGATTTATCCAGTCCGGTAAAACAAGATGGGTTGTGTGAGTCTATGGCCAGGTAAACAGACCTATTTTTAAAATCTAGTATCAACTACACAATGAATATCTTATTTACATCATGTATGCTTTCTTTTTTCTTGTTATAATAGGAAGATCTGTGAGCGTGTAGGACTACGTAAACTTGCGAAAACAAAAATACTCAACGCTGCAAAACACACTGTAAATAGAAACTTTTAGTTTTGTAATTCGTAACCAGAGCACGCACACAAAAACACGCAGGAGCGTTTGAAAGCGGGTGACTTTGAGCGGGCACAGAATTGACCTGTCAGTAAGCCCCTCCCTCGAATGCAGATGAGCCAATGGCAGTCGAGTATCAGTTGCACGGGGGCGGGACTCAGACATCTGTAGGTTTCAGTGCCATAGAGAAACATTGGAAGATCTGAAGCTTGCATCGGTTTGATGGTGTTTATGCTATAAAAATGGAAAAGCGAAGTGCCTGGGGTACTTATAACACTGATTCCAGGTATCCTGAGAGGATGGGCAATAGAATTTATTTTATTACATTTCCTAAACCCAAACAAAACAGAGCAAAATGTCCCAAAGCATTCACCCCCAATCCCAATGAAGACAAAAACGTTCATTTTCTGGATGAACGTTTTCGTCTTACAGTTTTCATCTGCTCAAGCAGAATGTTAATGTCATCTTGTGCTTTAGCAAGGTATCTCTGGCTAAAACTAGCTAACGTTAAAGTTAACGAGTCCATGCTAACATACAAACCTAAATAGCTAACTGTTCTCACGTCATGTACAGTGTAGGTCAAAAACACAAGCGAAGGTCTACATTTCAGTGCCTCTACATATTAAACTGGTTAAATGTAAATTAATTTAACCTGCAGTACATGAATCCTGGATGTTGTTATCAGTGATCGTGACGACCGTAATGAGGCTTCTCCTGCTTGCATTGTGATCGGTAAACCCTCGCTTCCAAATCTTGTTACCCACCGTATTTATTTTAAAATCTTATATATCCCTCTATGGCATATTTAAGTCCCACTTGAATGGTGGTCCTTCTGTGTCCAAAATTGATCAAAAACATCTTGGGACAAGGTTTTCACACTGACAGCTGTCATTGTAAGAAAGTTAGCAACTCCGTTTGTTTGTCCGACTCAGCGGATCTACACGAATCACACAAATAACCCATTTTGAATTCAAAACAGCGAATTTGGCCGAAAGGTTTATTTGTGCTACTGCTTGAAATGTATTTGTTCTTTTTTATTATTGACAGTTTTTTTTAGTTAATTGTTATTAATAGTTATTGTTTTTAGTTAGAAGCAATTAAATTCATATTTTGAAATCGAAGCTTCCTTGCGCTGAAAGCTATTGTTAGAGCTAATTATATAAACAGTAAAAACACAAACACACTGACTGAGGAAATCTTTAGATGAGATGATTGTAATTTTAAAAAATATGTCCAAAAATAAGGCTGAAAAGATTTCCATGTCAAAGGAGGTGGTGCATCTAAGCATCTTTCAGTTACGTAATTATGAACCAAAGACAGTTCAAAGGTGTTCAACAGCTGTTTCGAACCACCAACATGAACTCCAAATGAACATTGTATTGATTTTGCTTAAGTATATCAAGGCCTTATCACATCAAAACTGAATTACAGTTTGGGATTATCTGTCACACAATAGAGTCTGAAAAAATAAGCCAACATTAAGAAAAAGCAGAGGCAATAATTATAAAAATTCAGAAAATAATAATTTCCAAAATTTTCTTGTTAATCAATGTGCCATTCACAGTGCTCCCGTGAAAACGTTTGTACTTTTTCAAAAAAATCTATTACATGAAAAATATCTACAGAAATTCATATTATATTCTCTAGAGAAAATAAGTAAAGCCCACAGCCTCTTCTTTCCTTCTGTTTGTGAATCTTTTTGCCTGACATTAAAAAGAACCACACATTTTTGACACATTTTTAAAAGGCACCTAATACACTTTTTTGTTCAATTTCTTTTATCCTTCCTTTAGTGTGTAATAAATTTGTTTTCCAAAGGGAGTTAATTGCCTGAAACTAGTGCTGGGCGGTATACCGGTTCATACCGAATACCGGTGTTTATTTTTGTTATGATATGAATTTTTAAAATACTGCAATACCGGTGTATGTTGCTTAAACAACGTTGGGAACGCGACACTGTTTGAAAGGGGTCCCTTTTCACTGTTGCACTGCGGTGAGGGAACAGCTGTATGTGTTACTAAGCGTGAAAGTTCAGAAACTGAAGCTGTAGAACTAATAGAACGTGATGACACAGAAGAACTCATCCACAATATCCACATTGACCACCACAAATATCCACCGCCCCCTGCCATCAGCTCCCGCGTCTCACACACACATTTTTTGACAATATTCACTCATCATGACAGTAAAATAGGGCATTCTAAGTCCATATACTGCAGTATTTCCTCTCTCAGTCAGTAGAAAATATGGTTAACACCCGGTCATGCATGAAAAAAAAATAATACTGTCATGTACCGTGAAACCGGTATAATTTTGAAAAATACCGTGATATAAATTTTTGGTCATACCGCCCAGCACTACCTGAAACTTCTCATTTGTAGTCCTGACATTATTTCCGTGAATTAGCTACATTTGCACATTTTCTACACGAGCATCATTGATGGGAGTTTTGGTGACAGTGCACTGATTTGTGATGGACAGCTCCAGTGATTATAATTTTAATTTTTTTTACTAATGTGAAGTATACAACAATAAATGGTTCTGCAACAAAGAACGTCTGGCTGTACCTGAGATATCAGAAATATGTGGGCCAACGAGACGATGATGAAGACGTAGGCCTTGATCTGTGACTGTGGAGGCAGGCTTGTATTAATATATTATGTCATAAATATCCAAAAATAGAAAACAAATTGTGTCAGCAGCTTGGTTTCAATAAAAGGTGTTTTAGCACTCACAAACAATTTTTCTGAATAGTTCTGAATATTATTACAGTAAGGTTTTTTTTTTAAGATAAGACTTTTTAAGGCCTTATATTAGGAAAACGTTATTTAAGACATTTTAAGACTTTTTAAGGACACCCTGAGTACAATGATCGCTTATATGTGAAAAAAGACCAGGGAAAAAGTGATCTCACTTCATAAACCCACAGTCAGTCTGGAACCCTGCTAGATATCAGAGAGAATGTGAAGCATTTTCCCTGTACTCACACTCTCCATGAAGCTGGGCTTGAATCCCTCTGGCTGGCGTCTCACGTCAAGCTGCTCTCTATGACGGATCATATCCTCCTCACGTCTGCGTCTCTCTTCCTCATGCCTAAGCAAACATAACTCACATTTAGTTAAACTGCACATGCTCAGAATCCAGTCATGGTTATAATTAGATTTCCAAAGGAAAGTTTATTTGACTTGATTTGTACTCCAACTAATTAGCAGGCTTTCATTTCGGGTTGGAAAACCTAATCAAAACTAATAATAATG